ATATAATTATTATGTTTCGAAAGCTTCTTATTTTTAGCAGGTACATATCCTATTTTAATTTTTTAGGAATACCCAATTATTGATTAAGTTTCTTAATGTACATTTACTAGAATATTTTTAATCATATCAAGTATAAAAGTATTACTTTTTTAAGTGTATTAAGCTTTGATAATTTTAATAAGTTCCAAAAAAATAATTATGCAAACAAAATATTCACCAGAATAAATTTAAGAGGAAAAATCTAAAGTAAAATTAATAAAAAATTAAGCATATTTTTTACTATTTTCATTAATTATTTTTTTAAACTAATTTTATAAAAAATAATTTATCATTTTTTTCTCTTTTTCTTAATAATTAGTATTTATTATTTATATTATTATAACATTCAAACTGTATAATATTTAACTATTAAAAACTTTTATTTTACTCATTTTTATATTCTCCTTCTTTTTTTCTATGTATAAATCAATTATTACTTATATATATTCTTCCTTATTTGTACTTCCAATTAAAGATATTATATTAATTATTTCTCTTGATATTTTTTATTAATTTTAAGTTACTATTTAACTTATTACATATATAAAAAGAGAATCTTTTTCCTTTTCTATAAGTGTTAATTTTCTTATATCTTTTATATTTTTTTAGAGATATATGCATAAATCTTTTGCCTAATCTATTGTAAAATAATTGCTTTCTATTAACAAAGCTAATTTTTTATCAAAAGCGTTTTTAAGTTTATAATCAGTCTTATTTTCATCATACGTTATTATTTTTAAATATTACAAATAAAGTTCGAATAAAATTTAACCTTATAACTCAGATTTTATATAGCTTAAATTTTATATTTAATAGAATTCTTCTATTTCAATTTTAAGATTTTTTTCATTTAATAATTTTCTTAAATCTTTTATTGATAATTTTTCTTCCTATTCGTTTTCTGTCTAACTTTTAAGTAAAAACTCAATATACTTTTTTAATTTTTACATTTTTATTTTTTATAATTAATATTATTTTTATTGAGAGGTTTATTTTTCGCTTTATATTTATATAATTTTGAATTTTGAAAAAAATAAAAAAAAAATATTTAAAAATAAAATTTTTATTAAATATATAATTTTTTCAAATATTATTATATTTTTATAAGCATTTTTTTTTTGATTATTATTAAGCATTTTATTTATTTTTTTCAAATAAAAATACATTTAAATGTTTTTATAAATTAAAAAAAATAAATTTGAAATTCAAATATAAAATTACAAAATATAAATAAAATATTTTATATATTCATTTAAATTCTGAATTCTAAATGTTTAAAAATTGTTTCATAATTTTTTAATATTGATAAATAAAAATGAAAATTTAAAATAATATTTTATTTTAATTTTCATTTAAAAAAATATATTTAAATAAATAATATATATACTTTTTTTTATTTTCAATACAAAATTTGAAGGGCTTAACAATTTTATGTATAAATATGAATTTTTTCAAATAAATTTTATATTAAATTCCCATAAATATTAAGCACATGTAAATTTTTTAGAGTGATTTCTTAAGGCAATTATCTTATCTCTACTTTTGATAAATTTAAAAATTAAAGTTTATCTAATTTATTTTAATTAAGGATAAATTCACTTGCTTAACTTTTTAAAGAATTTAAACTCAAATCAAGTTTTTTTAAATTAACTATATTTATTTCTTAAGGTGCAAATAAACTTGTTAATTTATTATTTGATAAGTTTAAAGACTATAATATTTAACTTTTGCATTTAAAAATATTTTCACACTATGAATTATTTAAAGAATTATTTTTAAGATTTAAATCTATAAAATTGATTTCTAAAGGCAGATTAATATTTTTGAATATTTATAAGATATTATTTTTTCTATTTTTTATAAAATTTTATAAAAAATGTCAAATTAATATTATTAAAGTTATTTTTTACTTAAATACTAACTTCTATAATTTGGGAAAAACACATTTACTTTAAATTTATTCTAAATATAATTGATTTACTAAATTATTTGATAAATCAATTATTTTTAAGTTTGGTAAATTAATATTTAAATCTTCTTCAAAATTAAAGTCTTTAATTGAATTTTATATTATTTAAATTTCCTAAATATTTTAAATTTAAGATATCAAAATGTTCTTTAAAGATTCATTTTTTAAACAATTTGAATTTAAATATAAATATTCCAAAAAGTTATTTTCGAACTTTTAAATAAAATGAATTTAGTTAAAACTTAAATCTATTTTTCTAGCAAATTTTAATTTTTATAATATTAAATTTGTACCTTCACACAATAAAAAACAATCTCTAGCTTAAAAAATTTAAATTCTATTTTCTAAAGAAGATAAACTTAAATTTTAAATTTAAACGCTTTATTCAAATTAATTTTTATTGAAATTAAGTTCACTAACAAATCCAAAAAATCTTTAAAAAAACAAAAAATCATTTAAGTTGCATTGATTTTCCATCAAATTTATATTTTTTAATTTTTTAAATTTCATTTAAAAAAACTCATTTGTAATTAATTTATTTAGTTAGATATTATTAATTTCATTTGAATATAAATCTAATATGATTAAATTTTAAAATTAAAATTAAATAATTTCCAAAAACTAACAACTTTATATTTTATTAGAACCTAAATATAATTCTTCGATAGTTTAAGCATTTTAAAAGTTAACTTTTTAAATTTAATTTTACACACAATAAAGCTTTTTCAAAAATCTTAAATTAATTTAAATAAATTTAATTTTATTAAAAGAAATATTTAAATATTCTAATTAACTTTCTTCATTATTTGCTTATATTTCATGAATTTAATTATGACAAGCATTTAAGAATTTTAAAGTATTTAAACTAAATAAAAAATCAATTTAGTTTAATAAATTATAACTTATACTTAACTTTTTTAATTTTAATTAATCTAAATGTTCAGGGAATTCATTAATTAAATTATGAGATACATCAAGTTCTATTAAATTAGGAAGATTTTTAAAGTTTAATATTTAATTTATATTTTTTAAATTATTTTCTCTTAATTTTAAATACATTAGGTTTTGATTTTAATCATTTATAATAAATTCTGTTATTTTGTTATTTTTAAGGATAAGTTTCTTACATTTATATTAATTCAATAAAATAAAAATTTATTTTAAAATTTATTATCTTTAAGATTGCATTTTTAAAAGTTTAAAGAAGAAATTTACGAAATCTCATTTTAATATAAATCAACATATTAAATATTTACAGTATCGTTTATTTATTAAATTTTGTTATTATTTAAGTCTAAATAGTGAAGATTTATTAATTAAAAATTTTCAAATGAAAGTTGTTTAATGATATTATTATTTAAAATTAATTTTTTTAGATTTTCAAAACATTTAGACTAAAAAATAACTTAAAGCGATTTTTCACAAATTTTATTATTTTCTAAGTTTAAATAAGTCAACATTTGGAGATTAAATTGAGAATTTTCATAAATCTAAATTTAACTTATTCTATTGTTTGCTAAATATAATTCTTTAATTTCAGAAAAGCTTTAATTATAAAATATAGTATCAATATTAGTAAATTTACAAGAATTTAAAATTAACCTTTTTAATTATTTAAAATTATTTTCTTTTTAAAACTTTATTTCTGAAATATTATTGCCACTTAAGTCTAATAATTTTAAGTTTTCAAATAAATTCTCATTTTTAAAAAATTCAAAAAAATTATTTTCGATTTTTTTCTTTACTGAATAATTTAAATTTCGTATATATAATTCTTCGAAAAATCCCTTTTTTTAATTTAAAAATTCATCCCATATTTAAATTTCATTAGAATCAGAAATAAAGCTTTTTATATTTTCTAAATTCTGAATTTAATTTAGAATTTATTAAGTAAGCTTAGCACTTTTTAATCCTTCAATTTAAATTTGAAATATTTTTTTAATTACTTATTCTTAAAAGTCATTTTTTTATAAGTTAATTAATTTGGCATTTTTATTATTTATTTTTAATTTTTTTCCCGTATTTTAAATGCATTTTTCTAATAAAAAATTTATATAATTAAGGTTTGTAATGTTTCCTTATAGTTTTTTTTGGAGCTATAATTATTTTTTTATATAATTATCAAATTTATAAATATTAATATTATTGAAAATTATATATTAGAAATTTCCTAAAGGAATTAATTTTATGTTTAATGAATTTTACTAATTATCTAATTTTTCACACAAAAATAATGATTTTAATAGGCTTTCATATGAAATTTCTTTATTTATTTATTCTAAAAATGTTAACTTGTATGTAGAATTATCTTCCTATTATAATAAAGTTATTTCTATCGTATTATTATTATATTCTTCTTAGAGCTTAGATAAAGAATCATGTTATAGGTCTTCAATAAAAAAATCTTTTTCTATAAATAATTGATTGTTTACAATATATATCATTTATTCTATTTATTAATATAATTAAAATTTTAATTTATTAAATTTGTTTAAAATTTTAATAAATAATCTTATATATTTAATTATTAATTATAACAAAAAACTTTTAATTTTATAACAAAAACAAAAAAATCTTAATCTTAATTTTAAATTTAAATAAAATAATAAATTTATTTTAAATAAAATCAAAATAATTTATATAAGTACAAATAAATTTACATATTATTAAAAAAATATACTTTTTTTATTTATTAAATACAAAAATTTAATTAAAAAAAATATTTACAATGCCCCCAATATCTTATTTTATTTAAATTGTAATTAAAAAACATAAAGAAAGAGATTTTTGAAATTTGAATTTATATAAAAGGGCTTTTTTAAACACATTTTATTTTATAAATATTATCATTTTAATATATAAAAAAAATATGGAAAAACAAAATTTATTATAATCAAATATATTTATAAAACAAAGTTAACTATAAAATAATAGTAATGATATTAAAACTATATCAAATACAAACATTTTTATATAAAAGCTCGAAGCATTATAAAATCCATTTTTAAACATCCCTATAAAAAAAGAAGAAGAATAAGATTAATCATTTGAATATGATTAATAAAAAACTTAATTAACATAATATCTTACAAATATAAAATAAGTAAAAGAAACTTAAAATATACCAATAGATAAAAAACTTGAGTTAAAAACCTAAAACAATATATTACTTTAATCAATAAAAATGTATTAACAATATTTAAATTAGCTAGATTACGAAGAATTAAAATTAAATGATTATAATAAAACATTATTTAACTAAATAAATGAAAATGTATAAAAAATAAACAGTATAGACTAATAAACAAAAGAAATAAAAAACAAATTCGAAAAAGAAACCGAAGAAATAATAACCAAATAAAATCTATAATTAGAAAACAAAACAGTATTAATTCAAAAGCAAAAAAATATTATTTAAATTCTTAATCAAAATAGATAAATTGTTTTGCAAAAATAATAAAGCAATTAATAATAAGAAAATAATTTAAATTAATTAAAATCTTCCTATGAATAGGGTTTCAAGTTAAAAAATAAAATTTATGATTAAAATATATTAACTAAATAAAAAATCTAAGAAAACTAAATAACTCCTTAATTAGAATAGTATTTATTTTAAATTACTTAGTAAAAATAAAACTTAAATGAAAAGCTTTAAACTTTAAAAGGCAATATTAGAGTTTATTGTAGAATAAGGCCTTTAAATGAACAAGAAATTTAAAAAATAGAATCTAATAAATAAAATAATTAAGAATACAAATATGATTAAGAAAATTAAAACGAATAAATTATATAAACTTAAAATTCACATAATTTGAAATTATTAGTTCCTTAAAGTCATATAAAATCTCAAAACAATATAAAAAGTTATTCTTTTTAATTTGAAAATATCTTTGACGAATTCTCTTCTTAATCTGAAATTTTTTCTAATTTATAAGAGTTAATATAATCAGTATTGGATGGGTAAGAGAACAAACAAAACATTTACCTATATATTAATTTATATGTATATATAAAAAAAAGGTAAAATGTATGTATTTTTGCATACGGACCAACAGGCACAGGAAAAACATATACGATGTAAGGTGAAGAAGAATATTAAAAATGGGGGATAATCCCCCGTTCGATTGAATATATATATTAAGAAATGGAAAAGATGAAAGCATATGATTGGAATTATGTAATAAAAATAAGTTTGAGTGAAATATATAACGAAATATTATAAGATTTATTACATAAAGATGGAAAAAAAGAAGAAGTAAAAGAGATAAAAATAGAAAATGGCCCTTAATAAATAATGTAACTTTTAAAAATTGGATATGAAAAAAGAAAGACTTCCGAAACTCATTGTAATGATTATAGTTCACGATCTCATTGCATTTTTCAAATGAAAATTGACGGTTATAATTCTAGAAAAGGAGCTATTAATGGAGACTAACCAATTATTAAAGGCGCTCTTAACTTAATTGATTTAGCTGGATCAGAAAGATTATCTTTATCAAAAGCAGAAGGAGAAAGGTTAAAGGAAACTCAAAATATAAATAAAAGTTTAACCGCTTTAGGAATGTTATTACAAGTTTATCTAATAAGAAAGCTTTATACCATATAGAAACTCTAATTAACTTATTATTTATAAATTATCTTGGAGGAATTCTAAAACTCTTATGATGGTGAATATTTCACCTTGCTATTAAGTTTTCATTAAAATTTACGTACTTTAAAGTTCGCTGAAAAAGTTAAATTTTGCAAAAATAATAATTAAAGGTATTAGGATAATAATAGTAGCTCACCTTATAGTAGGTTTAATAGTTTTTATATTGCTTAAAGAGATAATAATTTTTTAGGTAAAAAATAAGAACCGCCTTTTAAAAATTCACTTGCTCCTACTTCTTTAAGAAATACAGCTTTTGGTTTTTCTGCTAATAAAAAATGATTTTTTTTTATTATTATTTGTATATATTCTTTTGTGAGTTAATATTATTTTTTTTATTTAAATAAATATATTTGGATATTATTTATATAAATGTTTAAAAATATTTTTTAAAAAATTGTTAATAATTAATTTTTATTGTTTTAAATTAAATATTTATTTTTTATTAAATGTTTTATTTATTTAAAAATAAAAAATCTATTTTCTTATTCATACAAAAAATGTATACCAAATTATACTCTAAAAAAGGAAAAAGAAATTCTTCAAACAAAAGGCAAAATAGAACCAAAAAATATATGTTTAGCAACAGGAAATTTAAATAAAACTTCAGCTTAATACATTTTAATCATTCCCTTATTTAAATAATAAATATATAAATATTAGTGTGATTAAATATATATATATATATATATATATATATATATATATATATATATATATATATATATATATATATACTATAAATTTTATAAATATATATATAAAAAATACCTAAGCAACTTTATTCCAATTTGCAGCTCCTGAAATATCATTAAGAATAGGCGAATGCTCATGAAAATGTCCTTTTTTTTATTTTTTGATGAAATCTATGCAATGCAAATACATATATTCATTTTAATAATGATCTAATAATTATTAATTATGAATATCTGAAGGTGAAGGGACTATATCACTATTAATTAGCTCACTAGCTCCTAAAAGAAAAGGAATAAAATGATAATCATCTAATCCCCAAACTCCATGAGAACCAGCAGGTTCTAGCATATAACTAACTTATATTTATCTCATTACATCAATATATCTTTTAATACAAAAAAAAGGAAATTGATTAAAATCGAATGATTATTTAATAAAAAAAAATAAAAAAATACTTACTTATAAAATACAAATCTACAAACTTCTTCTAGATCATTATTATCATAAAATCCAAGTTTTTTTAAAGCCAAAAGGAAAAATAAGAAAGCCATTTCATGTCCTGTTCCATAATCTAATCTTACATTAGAACCATAAGAATCAAATAAATAAACTCTTAATTCTATTATAGCTCCTTATAAATTTTCAGGAAGAAGAGTTTTTAAAAATGAGTCTGTTTGCTTTTTTTAAATAAAATAAAATTTAAATATATAAATAATATTATTTATTCTTTTTATGTTTTTTTTTTTTTACTAAACACATTTATTAATGCCAATCTTTAAAAGCTTTATTTCCAAAACGCATTGGTTATTATATTGGAGGAGTTTATTTCAATAAAATTTCTAAATTTACTAAATATTCAATTATTTTGTTAAATTTTCCAGTATTATTGGTTTAAGATATTTTCTTTGATTTTATAGACTATTGCATATCGCATATAAATTGCATATATTCGGCAAATGTTTTAGTTTTTTTAAATATTTCTACATCTTGTTCTAATCTAAGCTGTTTTGAAGGCACTTCATATTTATTTTCTTACTAATTATAAGGCAAATATTATTATTATTATAGTTATTATTATTCAGACATTTTTTTTCTTATTGATTTAATATTTATATTATTAATAATTTTGTTTATAATTAGAATTTTAAATCTTTATTTTTTTATATTATATACAGTGTAAATTATTTATATTTTCTTCTATTATTATTTTAATCTTAGGATTTTTATTATAATAAAGCAAAATATAAAATTATAATTTGAATATATATATATTAATATAAAATGGATAATAAATAAATGAAAAATTAAAATTTAATTTCTATATATTCTTATATTTTTTATATATTTCATAAAATTTATTATATTTTTTGATCATTAAGTTTGTAAATTTTCTTCATTTTCAGCATTTATCACAATAGAATTTGTTTTGCTCGGAGATTCATTGTTTATTGAAAATATACTTTTAGTAATGAATTATTAAAATAACATTTAAGCTTCTAATAAAAATAAATAAATAAATTTTATATTATAAATATTTGAATTATTTAATTTACTTGGTAAAAATGAATTTTATATTAAATTTTAAATTTGATTTGTGAAAAATAATATTGTTTCTTCTATTATTGATTCAAGCTTTTTTTTTATTATTATTTTTTTAATATAATAAAATATACATTTTTTTATATATAATAAAATATACATTTTTTGCTGCTGAATTTATAGAATCTTGATGTTTTTAATAAATATTTAAAGCAGTAGCATCGAAAATTACCGAGGAGCCTTAGTAATCAGGGAATGTCAAATATATATATAAAATTATGTTCAATATAAAAAAGAATATTCTAATTTTTTTGTATGTTTTAAATATATATTTCACATTTTTTTAATTTTTTCTTTACTAATTAATAACTAAAGGGAAAAACCATTCGAAAATAGTCCATATACTATTAATACACCAAAATTTAAGAATATTTATTATTTGAGTCTATTCTCTTTTCTTCAAAAATTTAAATGAATAATAGCATGGTATTATTATTTTAAATAAACTTCTATAAATAATTTTATATAATATAAAATTAAAAGTTAAATCAACAAAAATTGTATTTTTTTTTATGATTTTTTAACATTATTATATCTATCATTTTATTTATTTTCTGTATTCCTTTAATATTATTTTTTTTTTATATAAATTTTTATAAAGATTAATTAATAAAAAATAAAATAAAAAGGCAATATAAAAACGATAAAAAAAAGCAAATCTAAAATTGTATTTTAATGAAATAAAATAATATAAAAAATTAGTAATAAATTTTTTAAAATAATACTTAATAATTTAATAAATTTACATTATTTTATAATATAAATTATTAATATAAAAATAAATATTTTTTTAACATTTTCTCTTTTTATAATTATATTTTTCTTATAAAATTTACTAATTATTCTTTTTTTTAAATTATTTTTATTTTTCATTCTAAATCAATTGCATTTTCATCTTATTCTTAATTACTTTCATCATCGCTAGACTTTTATTTCTTTGTTTGAATTCCATCAACTTCAACTATTAATAATAATTAAAATTTAAATATTTTATTTAAGTATAAATAAATAAAATGAACCATTTTCATTTAAAATATTTGTAAATAATTTATCAGCTATATCTTTTACATTTTAAAGTATATTTATAACATCTTAAATAGAATTTGCTTGTTAATTTAGTACTTCTTCTCTTTTATTTTTATAATTATAATCTGCGACTACTTACATTTATCTTTAATTACTAATTTTTAATATAAAAAAGATATTAAAATATAATAATTATCAATAATAATAATTAATTAAAAAATTTTTATAAAAATTATATTATAACTTTATTATAAAAAAAAAAAATTATTTAAAAAATAAGTTATTATTAATAAAATTTAAATATATTATTTAAAAATTATATAACTAACATTTTAATTTAAACAAAAGATGTTAAATAATATTTTATTTTAAAAAAAATTCATTTATTTTATTAAATTTAAAAATTGTTTATATTTTACAAATAGCTATATATTCAATATTGAAGGACTCTTTTTATACTTTAAGAAAATCTTAAAATATATATAAATATTTTTAATTTTTTTTATTTGTAAAAATTATATGATGATGGATTAAAATGAAAAATTTTAAAAAGTCTATTTATTTTATATAAATATTTTTAATCAATTAATATTCTATCAAAAAAAATTATTTTATATTTTCTGATTTCAAAAAATTTAAAATGAGAGGAACTATTATTTTGTAAAATTAAAGCACAATGTAAATAAATAAATAAAAACATAAAAAACCTTATGAAAATTAATTATATTATTTCTTTAATAAAATTATAAAAAACAATATATATATAAAATAAAATATAAAATGCTTTTATTTTTAATTTTTTTATTAGAAATTGAGGAAAAAAATAATAATTAATAATAATAATAAATAACAAAATAACAAAAATGTAAAAAAAAAAAATCAAACTTTATTAACTAATTTGTGAAAGTTATTTGAATCTTAATTTAGCTTAATAATTTTAGATTTAGGATTAGTAACGTCACTATTGATTTTAAACAAAAAATTATTGGTTTAAAAAGATTATTCTTATATTTATTTTTTTAACTAAAATTATTAATCTTAGTAATCATTCAAATAAACAAACAATTATAAGCTGTCTTAAAATAAATTTTTATTTATAGGATATTTATATTTTTTTTTATTAAGATTTAAATCTTATTTAACTTTTTATGTTTCTTAAGAAAAATTCTAAGAATTAGCAAAAAAGCTATTATCAAAATCATGAGAACTATTAGTATCAATGTTAGTACTTTTTTCAATAAATAATTAATAATCTTATAGTAAATTTTCATTCTTTATATTTTTATCTTTTATTTTATTATCCATTTTCACTTTTTTATTTTTAATATTTTAATTATTTTAGGTATAATTCTTAGACTTTTTAATTAATTACTTCATTTTTTTTTAATTTTAAAAAAAAAATTTTATTAATTTTTTATTTTTTCTTTATTATTATTATTATTTTTTATATTTTGTTATTTAACTATTTATTATTATACTTTTCTTTTATGTATCTTAATTTTTTTATTTAATTATTTTCTTATATTGCTTAATTATATACTTATCTATTTTAGCTTTTTTTAATGTATATTTATATATATTATAAAATACTCGTATCATAATAATAGTGCAATTATTTTTTGTTTTTTTGTTTTTTGAGAAAATTTAAATAAATGCAAAATTATGATTTTAAAAAAATTTAAATTAATAAAAATTATTTCGATCATTAATTAATTAATTAATTATATAATAATTACATAATTATTTTTTAATATTTCTAATTATAATTACTATTTTAGATTATAATTTAATCTTATGATTATGCTTATTAAATTTATTATTTGTGTTATCTTTTTTTTTTATATAATTATTTATGTTTTTCTAAAATAATAATATTTAGTTTAATAAACATTTTTAAAATAATATTTTTGAACGCATAATTATTATTCTTAAAATATTAACAAAAATTATTGTAAAATTTCGATAACCAACAAAAAAAGTTACCTTTATATCATATATATTATTAATTAATTTTATATTTATTTTTTACATTTTTTTTAATTTATAATCAACATTAATTATTTTTTATTTTTTGATTTTTGTAGTAATGAATATAATTTTAAAAATTAAAAAAGACTAAAAATCATTTTTTCAAAATTACTTTATTATTGAAATTAAAATTCATAATATTTTACTTAATGTTTAAGATATAAGTATATAAAATTTTTTCATTCTATTAAAAAAAAAAAAAAATAATAAAAATACATATATTTAAAAAAAAAGTATACTTTATATTAAGTCAAAAAACATTATAAAATACGAATAAAATAATAATATATAAAATTCATCATGATGAAAAAAAAAAATAATTATATTACATATTTTTTTATGAAAAAATATTTGTTTTATTCAATAGTATTTTTATAATATTTAATAAATAAACAATAAAATTTATAATAATATTATATAAAAATATGGTATATATATATATATATATATATATATATATATATATATATAAAATAAAGATAATTTTTATATTTACATATTAGGATATTTTTTATATTCATTATTTCTTACTTCAATTTTCATTAAATCTTGATTATTATAAATAATTTCTGAGAAAATAAATAAAAATTATTAAATAAAATCTTGAGTATTATTAATATAAAACATAATTTTCTATATAGTCAAATAGTTATTTAAATAAGACAAAAGAAATTATTTAAATTGTATCATTATTATGAAAATATGCTTTAAATATATGTATAAAATATTTAAAATTGGCCTTTTAAAATTATATTTAATATAAAAAAACGAAAAATATATAAGTATTTTTAATAAATTTAAGATAATTAATTAAAAAAAAAATTAATCTTTATAAATAATAATAAAAAAAACATATATAAATTAAAAAGATAATAAATAAATTAATGTATATTAAATTAAATAATAATTAAAAAAAAGGTATAAGAAAAAAGAAAATTATAATAATATATATATTTAGATATAAAAATTAATATAAAATAATAAAAAAGTAATAAAAAAAAATATATATAAATATATAGTAAAAAATATATATAATATATATATATATATATATTTATATATATATTTGTAATTTATTTCTTTTAAATGTTTTATTTTACACAAATATTATTTATATATTTATTAAATAAATATAAAATAAAACTTATAAATTTTTAATTTTTTTTTTATATTAAGATTTATTTAGATATTTAAATTAAGAAAATAATATATAAATTATTAAAAAAATGAATAATTAAAGTATAGAATTAGTAGGGAATACTCCAAAAGAAACATTATATATAAATAATTTAAATTAAAAATCAACACCAGAAGGTTAAATAAAATATTTAATTAAAAATTATATATCACATTTTATAATTTTATAAAAAAATATAAAATAATTACTAATAATTTAAAAATTATAAAATAAAAAGACATAAGATATGGACTTTTTTTTTTATTTTAATAGTTTGGGGAAATACTAGAAATAGTAATAAAGAAAAAAAATACATTAAGAGGATAAGCATGGATTGTTTTCAAAGATATTACAGCAGCAACGAATGCAAAAAAAATGTTACATGGATTTTTATTTTATGGAAAAGATTTGGTTTTATATATAATAATATTAATAAATATGAATTAATATTTATTTTATATATTTTTTAATAGAAAATAAATTTTTCAAAATCAAGAAGTGAAATTTTAGATAAATTAGAAGGAAAATGGGTTCCAAAAAAGAAATTAAAAAGAAACAGTATATTAGATTAAAAAATAGAAAATTAAGCATAAAAACATGAAAATTAATAATAATAATAATAATAATAGTAATAATAATTATAATAATAAATTTAATAAGCTGTAACTGAATTAAATGAACCTAATAATGTTTTAATGGTAGAATATTTACCATCTTTTATTTCGTCTGAAATTTTAATGAGTCTTTTTAGTTAATATCCTGGATTTAAGTAATAAAATTTATATAAACATATAAAAAAACATATTTTTTTGTTACAAAAAAAAAAAAAAAAATTATTTTTATTTTATAAATTTTAAATAATAAACCAAAATTAAAGGGAAGTAAGGCTTATTTCTGCAAGAAGAGTAGGATTTATAGAATTTGAAAACGAAGATTAAGCTACTGTAGCCTTACATGGTTTGTAAAATTTTCATATTACTTAAGATTCATATTTAAAAATTAATTATGCCAAATTTTGAAAAGGATTTAGAATTTGATGTTTATTTATACATATAGTATTTAATTTCTAATGTATATTTTTTTATAATATATTTTTATCATTTTTAAATGATTAAAAAAAGTTAATAATTATTAAATAAATTAAACTTTTATATTAATATAAAATTTTAATAAAATAAAATTATTTTAGATTATTTACATTTTTGTTATTTTAAAATAGAGTTTTCATATTTTTTCCTAAATATTACATAATTTAGCTTCGATATCTTATCTAATTTTTCTTTCGTATTGAATTATTTGATCTTTTTCATATAATTTAGCCTGTAATCTAATAAAATAAATTTTAAAAATTAATATTTTATTTTTTTACTAATTTAATTCTTAACTATAAATATTAGATATTTAATTTATAGCTTATGAAATCCTTTATTATATACATTCATCTATTTTTTTATAAATTTATTTGTTAAATTTAGCCTATTATTCTTCCAATTATTATGTCTTTTATTAATATTAAGCTTTTTACTAATTTAATAAATTATTTTATTATAATAATGAATCGATTTTTTAATTTTGATACATAATAACATTTAACTAATTTTAATTATCAATTATTTATTGTTTTCTGTTTTCTTCTAATATCCTTTTCTCTTTTATAACTTTATTTAATACATTTTATATTTCTTATATTTATTTTTAATAAGTTTTTTCTAAGTAATAATTTTATTAATTATTTGATGTTTAGAGTTAATTAATATGATTTTATGTTTATATTTAATTTCCTATTTACTTTATATTTTTTTATTAATTTTGATCTTCGAATATATCATCATTATTATTTTAAAAAGTTAAAAGATTTCCAGAATTGTTACTTATTTAATTTTTTATACATATTTTACTTTTATTATTCAATATAATAGTATTATTATTATTAATGAACTAATTATTTATACTTAAAGGAATTTTATAAGAATCGGTTTGGGCTATTTATTATAAATTATTTTCATTTTATTAAGATTAATTATGTGATTAATTACGCGAACTTAACATACTATATGATCTTGCAGATTTTGATTAAATAGGTGATGGTGTTGGTTTTATCATTTATTACAAAGTAATATATATATTATTTTAATTTTATAATAAATTATTGTTGTTAAAAATAAATTTAAATTAATATAAAAAATTAAAATAGTAATTATATATTATATATAAATAAAAAATAAATAAAATATAATTTAATATAAATAGTAAACATATATTCTTAACAAAAATATATAAATTATTAATTATAAATATAATAAGATTTTTTCTTTTTTTTTTGCAAATATATATAAAACTGTATAAAAAATTTTATAAATAATATAATTTAATATAATTTATAATTAATATTATATATATTTTTATTTTATTTAATAAAAATAATTATCAATTATATGTATTTATATATCAAGTTATTTTTATTTTTACTCATTTTTTTTTTGGATTTTTTATAGCATTTACACCTTCCAAGAAAGCTTCATCTTAAATTTTTATTTTTTCTTCAAATATAATATTTAATCTTTCCACTTCTTTTTTTATAACTTTATCAATTCTCGCTTGTCTTTCTCTTTCTTTCTTTAATCTCATCCATTCTTCTCTTTTTTTAGCAGGAACCATATGTATACTATCTCCTTTCATAATTCTTATTTGTAAAAAAAAAAACAAAAAAAAACGTAAATACATAAAAATAAATATAAATTACTCTTCTAATTATTCAGGGGTTAATCCAGTTTCTTTATCAACTAAATATTATTATAATAAAGGAATTTCAGTTCTAGCAACGGGTTAAGCTTCAGCCAAAGTATCTGTATAAGGAAATCTAGATTTAAAAATATCAAAAGTCCTTACTTCAAAATTAATACTAGGAGTATTAGCAAAAAAATATAAATCATAATGCCTATAAAAAGTATATAAAAAGAAATTTGAAATTTCTTTAATATCATCTAAATCGAAAATTTAAATAGAATCAGGAGGTTTGAATAAAGAATGTCTTACAAGAAGTTCTTTTAGAAGATTAAAAGATTAATCACTATTGTAAAAATTTTAAAATGATTTGCAATACAAGTGATTTGATATTTCTAATATACAACTTGTCTTTTAAAAATTTAATTAAAGAGAACTTATAAATATATATATTTATTCCATATAATCTAAATATAATACAAGTAAATCTTTATTTAATTCTTAACCTATTTTAATTATGCCTTAAAATAATTGGTTTAATATTTAACGGAGTTATTCAGGATTTTCTTGTATTTTTTTATGTGCTTCTTCTAAATATATTCTTTAACCGAAAAAATGTTTGGATATTTTCCAATCTTAAGGAATATCTAATTTTTAATAATCGTTTTTCATTTTTTTATTATTAAACTATTTATATTTTGTCCTTTTATTTTTTAAATTATTATTTTTATAAGTTAGTATTACAATAATATTTTTTATTTTTATTTAAAAAAAATATTATTATTACTATAGTTTCATTTATTAAAAATAAAATGGATATAAAAATTATTTAAAATAATTAATCTCATTACATTATGTGATTTTAATATTAAAATATATGAATTATTTTTGAAAATAAAAAATAAAAATTAAACTATATAAAAAAAAAATTAAATTTAAATAAATTATAATACATATTAAATTTTTTTATTTAATTTATAAATATTATATGAATTTAATTAAAATATTAATAAAAATATATTAATAATGTATATTATATTGTTTGAAAATTAGAGTTATAGATAACTTTATTTTCTTAGGTTATAATAAATTTTTATCTCATATTATTAATATATCTAATTATATATAATTAGTAATTAACTAAATTTAATATGATGATTTTAAATTATAAATATGCAATTTATGCGATTCGAACGAATGAATGATTAATTTATTTATTATATAATAAGCGAAAAGGATTTAATTTAAATTTGTATAAATATCTTTATTATACATTATTAATTAAATTAAATTTGTATATATATTATGTTTATTATAAAATATTATAAATATTTATATATAAAAATTTTAATTTATTTAATTTTTTTTTTATTTATTAATAATAAATTTAAAAATTTTATTTTTTATCTTTATTAGTTATAAAATCTATTTTATATATATATATAGTTTAAATTTTTTATTTTTATTTTTATTTATAGCTTAATAAATAAATAATAATTGACTTAAAATTCAAATAAATAGATTTTTTATATATTCTATATATCAAAAATCATAAAATTCAAAAAATATTTATATTATTAATTACGTGAAAATAAATAATTTAAAAATGAAATTATTTAATTTTTTTATATATATAACTATTAATATATCTATATATATTTATTAATTTTTTCAAAAAGTATATTTCAAGTAAAAATTATATGACATTCAAATAAATTCATTACATTTAATTTTTTAGAATTTTTAAAATATAATTTTTTAATCTTTTATTAAAGGAGCATTTAAAGAAATCTAAATTTTCTTTTGTTATTCAGGGGTATGGTAAATCATACGAAAATCTTTAAAAGATCTGTCTTAACTAGAATTATTATTAAAATCTTGAATAAATTAATTACTTTTTTAATTTAGTTTAATTATTTTTAAGAATTTATTTATTTTTTAAATTTATCCATTTATATTATTATTATTATTTTATAATTTTATTTTTTATAAAATTAATTTTATAAAAATGTATAAATATTTAATTAATTATTTTTATATAATATATATTATTAAATTTTTTCTTTTTTCTTTTAATTTTTGAATTTATATATTTTAATTTTATAAATTTATATTTTACATTTATAAAATATTTTTTTTAAATATTTTAATATGAAGAGAATATTTACTAAAATATTCCTATAAATTATTAATATTATATATTTCTGCCTATATATTTTATCAATTTGAAATATTTTTATTATTTTAAATAAAAAAATAGCAAATAATTTATAATTAATAAAGTCAATATAACTTCGAAAATTCTAAATTACATTCATTATATTAAAAAAAAATAAAAAATATATATATATTTTTTATAAATTTAAATTTTTTAGATTTATGTAATTTTTTTTATATTTATCATAATATTTAAAATTTAAAGTATAATTTTATTCTTTAAATGACTAACATTTTATATTTGTAATAAATAATTTTTTTATAAAATATTATTCTTAAACATATAATAATTATTATATTTTAATGCATAGTAGTATTAATATTTACATATATATCAAAACTTAATAAAATAGTATATTATATTTAATTAAAAAAAAAATTAAATATATAAAAAAAAAAATTCAGAAATTAAGAATAGAAATTAAAAATATTTAATTTATTATATATGTAGTTAATTTTTAAATTAATTTTTTATTTTTTAAATATTTTGTTTTATATTTTTTTAATAATATTTCACATATATATATGCAAACTTATCTCTTTATATTTTTGATTTTAATTAAAATATTTGTTTATATATAGTGAATATAAATTCTTTTTTATTATATAAAAATAAAAAATATTTATTATAAATTATTTATAATAAATTAAGAATTATTTTCATATAAAAATATTAATATTATTATACTTATTATCATTATATAATTTTCAAATTTTTATATAAAATAACTTTAATTTATAAATTATATTTAAATTTTTTCAAATAAATTAATTATTTTTAATTAATATTTTATACTTTATATTATACTTTATTTCATATAATTTATTTATTATAATTTATAATAATAATAATAATAAATTCATATTATTTATATATTATATTTTATTTATTTTAT